CCTCTCCCTCCCTCTCTCTCTCTCCCTCTCCCTCCCTCTCTCTCTCCATCTTTTCAAACGTCCCTCTCTCTCTCTCTCTCTCTGAAGCATCTGTCTCTCTTTTGTTTTCGTCCTCAGAGCATCACGGTCTGTCTGATGCTATCACCTCTAATCCACTCTCTGTTTACTCGCTCCTCTTCGTCCAAATCACTCTACATCTCTCTGCCGTCCTTTCATATCGAATCTGCTGGTTTTCTAATATTGGCTTTGTTATTAGAACATCTGGCCTTATGTCGGTCGGTTTCAGATGTAAAAGAGCTGCATCATATGAGAATACTAATACTAATATATTAAAATACTGCATTTCAGCTGTTTTATTGAACAGATTAAATATTGACCTGAACACAAAAGGTAATATAAGAAAGGGCTGGCTGTCCGTCTAACTGCTAACATGCTAGCTAGCTGTTAATAGCCCGATAAATGTGTTGGTTTTGGCACCGAGCTAGCATGCTAAATGAGATTATCTTCCTCGGGTTAATTATTGATTTTGTTTAGTTTGTTAAACTACAACTGCCCACACATTATCATCGTCTCCTTATATTAATATGCTCTTCATACGTCCCATTCAAGCAGCCTAAAAAAGCATCTTATGTGTTAGGAAATGTATGTTTTTCAAAGTCAATATACTGATATCAGCCACATACAGCTTGTACCCTTAAACATTGATGTCTTCACGATGGCAGGACAGATTTTTACCATTCATATGGGTTCAAAACACTCAATGTTCCATCATTTTAACTGCGGAGATAGACTATAATCGCTTTAAATGACCGTGGAAACAGCTACCAGTTAGCTAACTCAGTGACAAACTAGGCCAAAAACTAAAGGACATGTATATATACACACGTATTGTTCACGACTGTGAGGAGCCGTTTGTACCCTGGCAGAGCAGGGGTTGTATAACTAGACAGATAACGCAGATAATATGATAGCCTCAGCTTCAAAAAGTCAACACTTCCAACACTGTTTGCGGCACAAAAATGTACTTCCTCTTTTGGGAAACCCACAAACTTTCAATAAGTGTGCACCAAAGAAAAAACGTGTTATAAGGCCCAGACATTTCTCAAAGTAAACCAGTGACAAGAAGGCATTGATTATCCACCGCCTTAATCTTAAAATAGAAATTTTAAAACTCACTGTGAGCGAAGTGAAGGTCATGCACATTCCTCCAAAGCCGTTCAACGCCAGAGCGAAGAAGATGAGCATGGACAGATCTGCAGGAGGAAGAGCAGATTAGTGACGCAAAGTAAAACATACACACCCTGCCTGATTGATTAAAGGGTCACCAATGCATCAATATTATTACAATACATTCCATTACTTGCAATATCCTGCATTATATTTGTTACTGGAAAGTTGTATTTCCACATCCACGTCCACGTATATATATTTTTTTACTTTACTTTTGATGCTATTTTATTTCAGTTATATTTTGGACTGTTTATTTCTTGTGTCTTAATTTCTCTTATGTACATTGCCTTGTTTTTTATCTATCTATCCATCCACCCATCCATCCTTCCATCCATCCATCAACCTACCCACCCACCCACCCACCCATTTTGTGACGGCAAAGACAATTTATACGCTAATTCACATCGCAAACAAACGTTCGTCTTTAGGTATTTGTTTGATTGCGAGACCCCAAATAGCAGAAACTGACATATTGTTCTTATAAAGTGATTTATAAAGAGTAGGGTTACGTACTGTTGGGGTCATTGGCTCCGTAGGCGATGAGCAGGCAGGAGAAGGCAAAGCAGGCACTGGAAACACAAAGCAACAGGTACAAGTTAATCAATAAATAAAAACCGTCCCATAATAAAGTGGAAAAATATGTTATATATATTGAGATAACAATACATGTAATTTGTTAGACGTTTTTATCCAAAGAGACTTACATACATTCAGTATTGTGGACAATCCCCACAGGAGCAATTTGGGGTGAAGTGTCTAAGGGACACAACGACATGCTGACGGCAGTGGGACTCGAACTTGCTATCCCCTGATTCGAAGTCCAGCACTCTATCCACTGAGCCACAGCCGCAACATTACTTTCAGTAGTTAATGAAAATCTAAATATTATATAAGCCTTTCTGCATCTTTCAGTACTCTGCTGAGTTACAACAACTTGCTAGTTTTATTCAAAATGTTTGATTGAAACCTTAACAAATTGAACACAAGTGTTTTGCTAGGAGTTACTATGGCAGCTAGCTAGCTATCATGCTAACTAGCTGCATGCTGTTAATAGCCAGGAAAATATATTTTTTCCACCAAGTAAACCGGCTTTTAGAGCATATTTTCCACTTAAAATACATATTTACACTTATTTTCAATGGGTCTTATGTTCTCAGTTTCTTATATTATTTGAAACGTAAAAGTTATCTTAGTTGTTTCTGTCCAGCTAACTGCTAATTATGCTAGCTAGCTGCATGCTGTTACTCACCAGGTTAATATATGTTTTCTACCAAGTTACCTTTGGTAATGTGTTTGTATGTTTCCAAGCTTAATATCCACTTCAAATATATATTTATTTACACTTCTTTTCAAAGGGTTTTATGATCTCAGTTCTTACAGTATAGGCTTTGTAACTTAAAAGTTATCCTAGTTATTTCTGTCCAGCTAACTGCTAACATGCTAACTAGCTGCATGCTGGCATCTGGTAGGATTTTTATTTTTTTTGTGCCAAGTCAACTGGCTTTGGGAGCTCATATTTGTTCCCAAGCTTATTATCCTTTTAAAAGACACATTAACGAGACATTTTAAAGGGTTAAAATGTATGTGCACAGCGATGTATAGTTATACTCTATCAAAGTATGAAGAAATATGCTATCAAATTTGCGGGCAATATAGCTTTCCTGTCAATCTCTTTAGACATTAAAAATGAGTTGTCCTCACCTGCCCAGGAGTCTTAGCTTCCTTGGACCGTACTTGTCCATGACGATGCCCATGGGCAGGGTGATGGCCGACAGCAGGAAGGAGCCCACGGTGAACGCCAGGTTCAACATCTCGTCCTGGTCTTTGCAGATCTGCCAGCCGTTCATCTCTAGGTATTCCTCAGCGTCCGACGACAAAGAGAAGGAGATGTTGGAGATGTTGAGGCTGGAGCTGTTATCTAAGTACAAATAAGAGAGAGGAGAGACATTAGATTTTAACACCCCACACATAGTGATGGGAATTACGGCTCTTCTTGGTGAGCCGGATCATTTGGCTCGGCTCACCAAGAAGAGCCGGCTCTTTCGGCTCCCAAACGGCTCTTCAGTTTACCACATATTATACCTTTTAATTAAATCAAATGTAGCCCTGTTTTGACTAATGATTTATATTTGTACACATATATAACTTAAATTATTCAATACATCTTTTGTACTGAAGTATTCAAAAGTAAAAATGACATGTTTAATATAAATGATTTGCTGTGGCCAATTGTTTTCATTGCATTTACAGACCCTTGTAACTCTTTGATACCACCCAATGAATGCATTGACTTGCTTGTAGAACCACGCTACACAAAACAGATAGCAACACCTATAAAAACTATTTTAAAAAAGGGGCTACTGTATCGACCTATATAAAGTATATAAATATCGTTTTTTTTTTCAAAATACCAAAAAGATCCTGCATTTTAGCCATGCCTCATTTCGCTCTTCCAGCGCTGTTTTTGCAGGGGGCTAATTCTGTGAGCTGCAGCTGACCACGCCCCCCTGCAGGAGAGGGGAGCGTGCTCTGAGATCAGCTGGGCTGTCAGAAGAGGGGGAGAAAAAGAGATCTCCGTCCTCCGTGTTTTATTCTTATAGAAGTAAGAAGAGAAGTAATGGGGCAGAAACCCTCCTTTTTACGCAGCGGTCCAGACATAGACATCAAACGGCGACACATATTCAGATGCCAGTTACTTTGGCATTAGGGCAGGGATATCTAGATACTTTCCAAGGTTTGACATCATGAATTGTGCTACTTTTAAAGCAAGCAACGATGTTTTCAAATCTGTAATCAAAAAGCACCTCAAAAACACTATAGAAGCAGTTCCTGCCGTTGCTACGTTAGTTCGAACGGTAACAACGGACTACTTTTCTTAGCGGATGCATGTCAATTTAAATCAATACATAAAACTATTTTTTTAATCAATAAAATCATTTTCTAAATCCATAAAAGCATTTCAATTAATATTGGGAGTCATGTCGTTACTTTGTTGAGAATGTGGCCGTGTAATAAGCGGGATAATGTGCACACATTGCATAATGTGCCTTCATGCCGATCTAGATCCCTCCGCAAAAAAAAAAACCCGGCTCCCGTCGTTCACTTAAAAGTCGCAACCGACACATCACATATAACCAGTGCTTGAATTGGAATGAAAAAGGTGCCAGTAGGCCTACTCTAAAATCAGCAACTTTTTCAAGTCAATTTTATATATACAGCCCACAAACAAGAATTTGGCTACTATAATGCTGGTGGGTTTGTCTCTTTACTACTGTATATTTTAGAAAGGTTCACTGTACTTAACATTTTTTATGATAGGCAGCGGATATGGCTAAAGCTCAGTAAGGTCAATATTAACTGAAAATATAGCAATCAAAGTCTAGATCTTCTGCTGAAGACACATGAAGCAGAGACCTTTCAGGTGAGAGCCCCTCTGGTGGTGTTCAACATTAATGACAAGGAAACAAAGCTCTGGTCAGAAGCATTTTTTATAAAAAGCTTTAACAAAATTAAGTATTTCTGTACATTTTGAATGCAATCTAACTTTCCAACTCAGAAAAATGATAAAGAGCATGAACAAAGAACATGTAAAAAATAAATGCAAAATTTGCACAATCTAAAATGAGAAACTGTAACTGCAAGTAACAAAGTCTGAGCCATGGTAAAGAGTTACATTGAACACCAAGCTGATCAGATAACTCCCTGGTTGGTCTGAAGTCCTTCTATCTCCAGGATCTGTACAAATCGGCACATTATGCCAAAAGTCTTCTCACTGGGTGAGCTGCTTTGCAATATACTTCACATTGTTAGAAAAGGCTCCAGAAGGCCTTGGGGACATCAGTATCAGGGGCTGGAGCTGGACAGGCTCTTTCATCAGCACTTCTCCTTCCCTTTGCCAGCCAGGACCTCACATACTGTTCCGGATTGAACTGTCCTAGTGATGGTCCATTACATTTAATGAAAACCAGGCTGGACAGTCGGCTGACAGAGAGAGCATTCCTTTTTGCAGTAAGGATATCGTTCATGCAGCTGAATGCCCGCTCACACTCACTAGTGGAGACAGCGATGGTTCGGACTGCTTTCAGTAGAGGCTCCATGGCAGCAGGTGTACGGGATGCCCTGGTTTCCTTGTATTCGCGAAAGCCCTGAACAGTCTCTCTTCTGTCCACTTTCAGCACTTCGCACAAACGTAGCACCTCTACGTCCCCATACTGTACGTCTAACTCCTCTTCAGGCCAACTTCCAGGATGGATAACTTTCATGTCCTGGATTAGCTGATTGTCCCGGGCCTCCCGGCCATGTAATGGGATTTCTCTTGTGCTGACATGAGAGGAGGTTGTGGAAGTCATTCTGTGTCTCAGATTCTCTACCATACTGCGGAAAAAACTGACCTGCATGAATCTGTACAAGCCTGCCATTCTCACGCAGGGCAACACCCTTGAAGGACTTCTCAGCTAGAGCTGTATGAACTATAGTCATGTGTGGGCCAGGCATGGTGACCATGGATTCAAAAACTCGTATTTCTCGAGTTAAGAGCCTATCTGCTGTAGGCAGTGTCATCTCTCTTTTTTGGAGTTGCCGAGAGAGGTCGCTGAGCTCTGTGAGCGCATCGTACATCAGTCCCAGATTGCTGACAAACGTTGCAGATGTGAGCACATCATCCAGGCCCTTGTACTTTGCTCTGTCTCTGGAATCCCTGCTCGTGTCGTTTGCAGCATTTGTGAAGTGATCATGAAGCACTCGGTAGTTTTCCCAGACTGCTCTGACGCTCCTTTCACTTGAAGCCACCCAGCGGATGGACAAAACACGCCCTATCACCAGGAGACGCTGTCCGACTGCTTGCGCACACTGCGCTAACTGCCTCTGATTTTTGGGGGAGGCATGGAACAAGGAATAGAGTTTGTCAAAAAAGATCTGGAAATGATTGAGCCCTGAGACCTCCTTGACCACATCCCCAACTGCCAGCTCTAGACGATGATTGGAGCAGTGCCACACAAACAGGCTTGGGAATTTACTACACAACTGGGTAGCAACGCCTGTTCTCTTCCCTAGCATGACTGAAGCCCCATCACATGCAAAAGAAACGAAACACTGACCTGTTAAAATCTCTTCCAAGACACTCCATTAACGCCTTTGTGATGTCATCAGCCGTTGTTCCATCCAACTCGATCAGCTCCCAAAAAAACGTTTCGGGCTCAGCATCAGCTAATGCTGAGCGTAGACACACAACAAGCACCGTTTTACCACTAATAGTGGTAGATTCATCGACCAAAACACAGAGTTTTCTTTGGTTTTCTGTAATGTCTTTTGCCATTTTTTTTCTTCAGCTCATGAGCTATGTGGTCGATGATTTCGCCACAGGTTTTATTGGAGTGCAAAACCCTGCCCACGTTCAGCCCATTCAGTTTCTGTACATTCAAATCAATTGGCATGTCTGTGAATGGCCGGCTATGTTTGCCAATTTTATATGCCGTTCGAAAAACTCTGATAGTGGTGTCTAATTCAGATTTATGCATAGACTGCACTTGATGTTGAATAGTTTCACGTGAAGCAGATGTAAGGATGTCAGCAGCTTTTACATGGGCTTGTGATTCTTTATGTTCTTTGATTTTTTTTCTCAGGCTAGCTTGTTGTTTGCCCTTGTCAACACCGAAATGAGACACTGCACACTCACCCCATTCAGTTGACAGTTTCAGTCCTTGTCCAGTGTGTATTCCCAAAGATTTGACATCTCTGCATATCCGACATCCTAGCTTCTTATCTTTAAGAAGGAGCCATGCATTGGTCTTGCAAAAATATTGCACCTGGTCCGTTGTCCAGCAGTCAGGTGCATCGCTTTGCCCGGTGTTGGTGGTGGCAGTTGCGCCAGCAGCAGCTAACGTTAGAGGCTCTGGAGGGTGGCGGCGGAGCTAGTGCTAATGCTAATGCACTAGAACTTGGAGCAGGAGGATCAACCAAAGAAAGCTCCCCATCAGACACAATTTCCAACACAGGCACAGCATTCTCTGTATTTGAAGTTTCTTCCGGCGACAACCGCTGTCTTTTTGCACTTTTATTAATCCACGCTAACATTTTAGAAATGCTAATTTGTGACGTGACTTGCTTTCCTTCTCTCGGGGGCGTGCCTGCTCTGTTCTATCACTCTACATAGCCACCCACTGGGTGGGAGTTGCACTGCATAAACACAACACACGTGCATCTAGGTATGTAAATTGTAAAGCATTAAAACATGGTTTTACTAACAGTTTTCAGTATGTTGTTATTTCGGCATTATTATTATTATTATTTTGAAACGTGTATTACTATTAAATCACGGTCAAATAGGTTAATTTTGACATAGTCGTTTCCACCACAGTATTTACATGGAGAAGATAAGCCCCGCCCCCTCTCCAGCACGTTCTGTTTGAATGACAGGAGTAAACAGCTGACAGCCGCTGTGAAACTCCAGCGGTTAGAGCGATGAGAATGTCCGTTCGGCACCTCATGACGCATCTACTGAGTACCGGGCGGCTGTATATATATATATGGATGTATAATAAGAACGGCGGGAGAGTGTTGAGTACTGGCACGGTGCATGAGTACCGGAGTACCGCCAGCATGCCGGTACTGAGCAAGAAGTGCCGGTACTCCATGGGTCAGAACCAGAAGTGCCGGTACTGCGTACCGGTGAGTACCGGCCCAATTCCAGCACTGCATATAACAGAGACACTCAAATCCAGCACCAGACACATTTTACGCTGCTATGGACAGTCTTGCACTAATGTACATTTCCCAAAGATATTGAAGTGACTGTTATTTTGTATATGTTTATTATTGTGCTTTTATTTATGTCTTAATGTGTGCATATGTATAAAAGTGTCTGTTGATTGTATAGGATATACATATTTATATATAAACGAAAAATTACATAGGGGTTGT